TCGAGTGAATTACGACGTTGCTCAAGGTCGGTACGGGGGGGGGGCGTCGTATCTGACCCGGGGGGGGGTCGATCCCCCCCCCCCCTCCCGGCGGGGAAGGGATCAAAGGGAAGGGGCTTCCCTTCGACTGAATTACGACGTTGCTCAAGGTCGGCTTGGCTCGAGCGGCTCGGGCGCGGCTCGGGCGGCTGGGGCGCAGGACAGAGACGACGAGTACAAAGAATAACGGAGATGACGGCTCGAACGGAAAAGCCCCTCACACACGCCGACAGGGTCGGCGGATTTGTTTTTGCGTGGGATGAGCTGTGCGATACCATGAGACGCTTACGACGTCATCATGAGCAGGGCCTCGGCTTACGCCCTCCTGGCGCTCGCTTTCCATTCCCCGTCCAGGTCCACGGGGAGGGGGTAATTCAAAGGGAGGGGTGAACTTTCCCCGAATTGGAAAGAAGGGGGTTGGAAGAGGAAATGCCCTGAACCACCCGCGGTTGGAAAGGCTGGTGGAAATCACGGAACTGTGCACTTCCTGGCGACGTGGGATGCACCAGCATGCGTCCAAATCGAGTTCTGCAGCACAGTAAATATCAGAAGTTCCCTTTTCGTCGGCGACAATTCGCTTGTTCCATGTAGTTATACATTCCCCCCCCCCATGTTGTAGTACTCTGCGATCGGGGAACCAACGTTTCAGCTGCCCCGTACAGGTAGGTCGATAATACATGTATATGTGTGAGTGTATGTGTGTCTATATATATATATATATAGACACACATATATTGATCTCTCTTTTATATATATATATGGTATACATGAATGCGTATGTATACATTTGATGTAGTTGTAAATCCATGAACATGTAATTATGTAGTTTGTGTATACATAAACACAGGTACATACGTAGAAACATATGTCCTGGTTTTTCGGTGGATACAGTCGTACGGCCATCACATCGCGCCTGCTCGCAGGACAAACGCAAAACCGCAGTTGCTGCTGAGCCTCGTGCTCACGTGGGAAAGGCAACGACAGGCAATCTTGGGTCTGCACCTTCTTCGTCTCATTCATCTCCCGCTCTTTCCTGTTCCTGTGCCCCCCCGAGGCCCCTCTTCTCGAGCGTGGCGTGGAATGGCTCAAAAAGTACATCCCGCGGCACATGTGGTGGCGGCCCCTGCCGCCTTTTTCGGAGGAGGGAGGAGGAGGCGGACGAGGAAGAGAATCACATTCATTTGTTCTAGGTAGATTTTTTTCCCAACCTTCCTGCTTTTGGTTTCTGTTTTGAACAGAATGCTGCTAGCTTTCCTCCTCCCGTGCTTCCTTCTTTCTTCCCCTCCCTCCCTGTGCTTCCTCCTTCTTGCCTGCCTCCATCTCCTACATTTCTTTTACCCTACTTCTTACCTCGCCTCCCTGCGGACTGCCGACAGTGCAAACCATTTTCGCGAGCTCCAGGGATGTCCAGCGGAGTGCGGTCCTAATGTGACCTGTGCGGGGCTGCCGACAGCGCAACTGTCGCCACTTTCGTGAGCTCCTGGGAGGTCCAGCAGAGTAGTGGGATCCAGCCCATACCCCGCCTCTTTGTGGGGCTTCCAACTGGCCGACTGTCGTCACTTTCGTGAGCTCCTGGGATGTCTAGCAGAGTGCGGGCCTTACGTGGACCCAAACGATATCTCGTTTCCCTGGAGGGCTTGCCAAGTGCGCACCCGTCGCCACTTTCGTGAGTTTCTGCCAACTACGCAACTGCCGCCACTTTCGTGTGCTCCTGGGTGTTCAGCGGAGGACGGCGGAGGAGGGGGAGAGTGGACGGATCGGCGTTCAGCTTGAGGCATCCTGGTTCTTTGGCGCTTATCCATTCGACGCCTACCGGTACGATGGCGGACCGCTTGACGCAGCAATTGTTCGCCGATCGATTCGGGCTCAAACTAAATGGACAATGAGGAGGCGGAGGGAGAGAAGGAGGACGATGAAGGGGAACCGTTTTCATCGTCGGATCGGCGGTTGGGTTGGCCGTCGGGTCGGCGGCCGGGGCGGCCTGCGAGTGGGTCTTTTGTTTGGTCTCTGAGTTGGCCGTCGGGTTGGGCCTGCCGCCAGGTCGTCTGTCGGGTAGGCCTCGGCTCTGTCCGTCATTGTGTTCGTCGCCGCCGTCGTGGTCGGAGTCGGTGTCGGCGTCATCGTCCTGGGTCGGCTCGTCGTCGTGGTCGATCATCTCCGGGTGCGATGTGTTCCATGCGCGTCCTGCCGCGGTCGCCGCGCGCGCAGCCCGTGCAGCGAGCTTCTCTGTGAGGCCATGGCTCCCGAGATCGAGCATCCTCCCCACTGTGAGGGCTTCATCGAAGGCGTCGTCGCCGTGAGCCTGGGCGTCGATTTGGCCGTCGTGGTGGCCTCGAGTTTGGTCGTCGGGTCGGCGGTCGGTCGGGCCGTCTGGTCGGTCGTGCCGTCGTTCAGGCTGTCGGTTAGGCTGTCCGGTTGGCCGTTGTTCGGGGCGTGTGGTCGGTCGTCGGGTCGGTCGTCGGGTACGCTGTCAAAGAGGTCGTCGGTCTGGCCGTTGCGTTGGGCGTCGGGTTGGCCGTCGAGTCGGCGGTTGGTAGTCCGTCGAACTGGACCGTCGGCCCGGCCCTTTTCTCGTGGCCGTCGTTCTTCTCCTGGGTGGCGTTCTGTTGAAACGCCGCGCTGGCGCGCGCGCCAGCCCCGCGAGGCAGGGAAGGGAGGGTGGGCGCCTGGACGAGTTCTTTTTCCTCGTCTCCGCAAGTGTGAGGCAGGGGTCGCGCCCACGGGGAGCGGTTCGGGTGCTCTGCTCCACTTTCCTTCATTTCTCGCGCTTCTCCTCGGTGTGTTGGACGTTGCGGCCCATGGTTGGTCCAGGCGACGCGGTGCTGGTGGCCCGCGGTGTAGGCGACCTGGGTTGAGTTGGCTGTCGGGCGTGGGGCTGCGATGCCCCGCTGCGTCTGTGGAGGGTGGGGTTGGTCCACGGGAGGGAGGGGTGTGGAGAGTGCGGGGGGGAGGAGAAGGAGGAGGTGGAGGAGGAGGACGAGGAGGAGGAGGAGGAGGAGGAGGAGGAGGAGAGGAGGAGGAGGAGGAGGAGGAGGAGGAGGAGGAGGAGTCAAGTGTGCGGAACAGCCCGTACTCATTTTGGCTTCCTTCATCTCACTTGTCTCCGCTTCCCTGCAGGCGCGCCGCATGGCCCTGGCGCGCTGGCGAGCTGGGGCGCCCGGGCTGCTCGCGCTGGCTGATGGGTGGGCAGGCTTGGCCGGCGGCGGCGCTGCTCCGTGGATCTTGGGGGCCTGGAGTGCAGCCCAGGACCCACGCGTGCAGGATGCTGTTGCACAGGCAGGCGCTGCAGGGGCGCAGGCAGCGGGTGCAGCAGCCGAATGGCTTGAGGAGGAGCTTGCCCGGGAGGACGATGAGGGCGCACCGACGTTCTGCATGGTGCGGTGGAAGATCTACGTGCTCCTTGCGGTCGCTGTGGGCACAGGCATGGCCGCGGCTGCCGCGCTGGCCTGCTGCTGCGGCAAATTGGGCTTCGCCGGCGGCCACGCGTGTGCTCGCTGGCGGGAGCGGCCCGCCGCATCTGCCGCCCCCGCTGAGGCCGCTGCCGCCGCCCCACCGCCGGCGGCCAACGCGGCGATTTCGCCAGCGCCCCGCGACCAGCGCCTTGCGCAGCTCGCCACCTTCACCGCTTCTTTCTAGGCCTCCTAGATGGGGTCCGAGCAGATGGGGTCGGATGATCGCGCCGCATCGCCGATGCATCGGCGACGCGGCTGGATGTGGGGCCCGATTTGCTTCACGTCGACGTCGCCGATGCATCGCCGACGTCGACGATGCATCGCCAGTGCATCGCCAGTGCATCGCCGATGCATCGCCGATGCATCGCCGATGCATCGCCGATGTATCGCCGATGCGGCGCGATCCTCCGACCCCATTTACTCCGACCCCATCTAGGAGGCCTCTATTCTTGTGGCCAGCCGGCGGTTGACGTGGCAGCCAAAGGGCTCGGAGTTGCGCGGTAGGCGGTGCAGGCATGGTGGGTCCACTGGCAGTGTGCCCAGAGCGGGCCCCGCTGGGGGTCAGCGTGACGTGGAAGCTGGCATCGGGCTTGCTGCACTGGACGGGTGGATCCGGGATCTCACTGATGAGGGCATCGAGCCCAACCCTGGACCCGGTGCCCCCCTGGAGTTCATCGACTCGTTGCGGGCGATGTTGGGCCATGCCGCCACCAGGGACATGCAGCCGGGCCCGGAGCTCTTCGACATCAGGCAGGGCTTGGAGGAGTGGGTCGAGCACCTGGAGATGGTCCTGGGGGAGCGACCCTGTCCACCGACGCTTGTCGCTGAGAGCGATTTCCATTCAGCCGGCGGCAGTCCGCCGCCCTCGCCGAGTTCCACGGGCGCCGCCGGCGGATGGCTGTGGGAAGCGCGCTTCGACGTGGCGCCGTTGTCGCCGACGCGCGCTCCATCGCTGCCTGAGGAGGCAGGAGGAGAGGAGGAAGAGGCGGAGGCAGCCCAGGCAGAGGTCGCCGCAATCCGCGCACTGCAGCCGCGCCGTTCGCCGCGTAGCAGAGCTGCGCGTCATGGGGGCCCGCGGCCCCCCGCGGTAGGAAAGGGCGGCGACGGCGACGCGCCCCTCAAGCGCGATTCATTGTCATCCCCTCACCTCCCCCCCCCAGGCCCCGCTCCCCCCCGCCGCCCCCGTGCTCGCCCTCGCCTTCGCCCCTTTGTATTTCAGCATAGTAGCTGTTGCGCCCCGATCAACTCTGGGAGTCTCTGCGGCTCAAGCGTGTCCGCCGTGCAGTTAATTCAGCTCCATGTTCATGGCGATGATGATGATGGCCGCAGAAGCTTGCCCGCATATGCGCCCGCGGACGCACCTGGCATGCCGGGGGGTCCGGGCAATGAAGTCCCCGAAGATGCAGAGCTCCTGTTGAAGCCGCCCCACCTTGGGATGACAAGGCGGCCTGTGGCGTGGGCGTTCGGGCGGGGGGCGGTCGCGGTGGCGGCGTTCGTGACAAGGAAATGGCAGAGTCAGTAGCGCCATGGGGACCTTTGGCGTCTTGACTTCCAACTGGGGTGGGAAATGGGGCGATCCCGCTTTGCTTTTGCGCATGGGCCGTGGCGGCAAAAGCAGCCCCTGCGCATCCCAGTCATTCAGGGAGCCTCGCCGGACCTGCTGAAGTTCTTGCAAAGTGTCCCTGGGGCGCGCGAGCCCGCCTCCATGGTCATAGAGCGCCCTGCGTCCAAATTCATTGGAATTGCAGGCGTGGGCGCCGATTGCGCCGCTATGACCTTCGCGGCGCAGCCCCGGTGACGGGGGCGCGGCTTCTAGTGTTCCACCGGGCGAGAGATGGAACGTGCTCCATCGCCCAAAAGAGCAAAGCGAAGACGCGGGTCGCGAAGACAGCGGCAAGCAGGATCATGATCGCATCTGCAAGGGTGCGGTTTTGGAAAACCCGCGGCGGCGGGGGGGCGGCAGCGACCGCCGGTGAGCTCCGTCTGGCGAACGTGCGCTTGAACAGCGGGGCGGCGAAACGCGATCTCCACGGCGGTGGGGGGCGTTCATTTTTTTTTGGATTTGCTGGCGCGATTGGCAGAGCTCCGCACTGCAATCCTCTGCTGTGACTTCGACGTGGCGCTCTTCCGCGTGGCGCCAGGACTGCGAGCGCGCGGCTTCCGGGTCAATCTGGCCGCGTGGTGCTGCTGGCAATGGAGGCGCGGAAGCGTAGTCCGAGCGGGCTCGCGCGGCATCTGTCGCGTGGTGCCGTGCTCAGGAGTTCGGATGTGCCGCGGTATCTCTGCGCTCGGGCTGGCAGGCCCCAGCCTGCCTAAGAACTGTTCCTTGGTAGCGGAGACCCTGCGAGATGGGGGCGGCGCAGGCATTGGCGGCGCCCCGGTCCATTGCGAACGTCCCGTTCCTGGGGCAGGGGTTCCCGCGGGCGAGCTGCCGCCCGAAAGTCCAGGCGCGCGGGGAACAGTGCGTGATGTGGATTCTCGCGCCTGTCTTCAATGAGGGTTCACCCGCAGTGGCGGAGTTTGTGAGCCGCGCCTCGAATGACATGGCCGTGTTCCCGTTCCGAGTGGATCCTTCCATGGGCTCCATGGGGCCCGCTTCGTGGTCTCGGCCAGTTCTGCCCGTGTCCAAGCGGGGGCCTGCGAACTTCGACGAGTTCGCTCCTTCGCGCGAGTTCTTCAAGCGGGGTGCGCGCGTGCCCGGGGTGATCTACGCGGGCGCGCTTGGCGACGCGCGGCGGGCGTGGGGTGCGCGGGGGCGGCGGAGTAAAGATGCGGACAGGCGCGGCTGGACCTGGGGAAGGAGGCGCGGGCAGCATATTCCTGGTGGAGCGGGGAAGTAGGGTGGCCGCCCAAGGGTGGCAGCGACAACCGTGGGCATATCCATGGTTGTCGCCCACTTCCGCTTATTCCGTGCTTCGGTTTTGGAACGACCGACTACCTCTGGTCAAACCTAAATTCTAGCTTCCCCCCTGGGCCCCCTCCCATCTGTGCTGACTGACCGTGCCCCTCGTTGCACGACAGCGCCCCCTCGCCCCCCCCCCTGTGCCTTCCTTCCCCCCTCGCTCTATTCCGACCGACCGTGATTTCCCCCGCTGCTCGACTTTGGTCCCCCGCTCACTTCTTTTCGCTCCTCTCTTCTTCCCCTTCTCCCCGCCCCCTCCCTCGTTCCGACCGACCGTGCCCCCCCCCCGCCCCCCGTGCCCCCCCCCCTTCCCTTCTTCCAACAGTTCGTGCCCGCGACCGTTCGCGCCCCCCCGCCCCCCCCGCCGCCCTTTTTTTATTCCGACCGACTGCCCGCCCCTTCCCCCCGTTGCCGTCTCCATTTTTACTGGTTGTCCGTGCCCCCCCCTGGCTGTCCGATTGTGGCTGCCCGTTGCCCCCCGCCCTTGCCTCCTTATTCCGACCGACCGTGACATCCACCTCTCGCCCCGTGGCCCGCCCCCCTTATTCCGACCGACCGTGTCCCCCCCGCTGCCCGACCGCGGCCCCCCGCCCCTTCCCGTGCCCTTCTGGTTATTCCGACCGTCCGTGCACTCCCTTTGCCGGGCCATGGCCCTCCGCCCCCCCCTGCCTTTTTTGCCGATCGACCGTGCCCCCCCCTCCGCCCCGTGACCCCTCCCCTGTCTTCCGACCGACCGTGCCCCCTTCTCCGTTGCCCGACCGTGCCTTCTCGCTCCTCTCCTCCGCCCATTCCTTTATTCCGGCCGACCGTGCCCCGCCCCCCTTCCCCCCGTACCCCTATCGTGTTATTCCGACCGACCGTGCCCCCCCCCTGCCCGACCGTGGCCCCCCGCTGAGTCCGACCGACCGTGCCTCCCGTTCCCCTCGTCTCCCCTCTCCTTTCGTTCGAAAGAGCGTGTTCTATCGTTGCTAGCGGAATCTGGGGGGGGGGTTCACTGGGGGTTCCCAACCCGTCCCCCCCTTCGAAAACCGGGGGGGCCACCGCCAGTTCGAACCCCGGGGTCCTTGCCGGTTCGATGCCCCCTTCGCCGCCGGGAAACGATTCCCGCTCCTCGGGACAATGGGACAGTGGTCGGGACACTGGGACAGTGGTGAGGACGGTGGTGGCGGGGACAGTGGTGTGGGGACAGTGGAACACTGGTGGGAACAGTGAGACAGTGGTGGGGACGGTGGTGGTGGGGACAGTGGCGAGGGGACAGCGGGACAATGGTGGGGGCAGTGGGGACAGTGGGACCGTGGTGGGGACGGTAGTGGTGGGGACAGTGGTGAAAGCGGTGGTTAGGACGGTGGTGAGACAGTGGTACAGTGAGGAGAGTGGTGGGGACACTGGGGACAGTGGGACAGTGGTGGGGACAGCGGGGACAGTTGGACAACACAATGGGACAGCGGCGGGGGCAGTGGGGACCCTTGGGACAATGGTGGGGACAGTGGGGACAGTGGGACAGTGGTGGGGACGGTGGTGGTGGTGGGGACTGGTGAGGGCGGTGGTGAGGACGGTGGTGGGACCATGGGACGGGTGCAGTGGGGACAGTGGTGGGGACAGTGGGGACAGTGGTGGGAACAGTGGGACAGCTCAGCGAGACAGCGGCGGGGACAGTGGGACAATGTGACAGCGGGGACAATTGGCACAGTCGGACAGTGGTGGCGACCGTGGGGAAAGTTGGGAGAGTGGGGCCGTGGTGGGAACAGTGGTGGGGACAGTGGGGACAGTGCGACACTGGTGGGGACAGTGGAGACGGTGGTGGGAAAAGGATTGGCAATGGTGGTGGGGACGGTGGTGCTGGGGACAGCGGTGGGGGATGTGATGCGGACGGTGGTGGGGACCCAGGAGTGGTTTGCCGGCGGTTTGGGGTGGTTCGGGGTTCGAACCGGTAGTGACCTTTCGGTTTTCTGGAAGGGGGGGGTCGAACCGGTAGTGACCCCCCGGTTTTCTGGAAGGGGGGGGAGGGGTTAGGGGGCGGCCGGTTTGCCGGGGGAAGGGGGGGGACGGGGGGAGGCCCAGCAGAGGGGGGGGATTTCGAAGGGGGGGGGGGGAATCCGGGGTTCCGGAGGAAGACGGGGGGGAAGTTTCCACAGTAAATCGGTGGTGGATCACGCTCTCTCTCTTTTATTCGGACCGACCGTGCCCCCCCCCCCGTTGCCCGATCGTGGCCCCCCGCTGCCCGATCGTGGCCCCGCGCCCCCCCCCCCCCGCCCACCCATTTCATTCCGACCGACTGTGCCCCCTCCGTCCCCCCGAGCCCCTTTCTTTTATTCCGACCGACCGTGCCCCCACTCCCGTTGCCCGACCGTGCCCCCCTCCTCCCTCCTTTGTTCCGACCTACCGTGCCCCTCTTCTTGCCGTGCCCCTGTTTTTATTCCGACCGACCGTGTCCCCCCCCGCTGCCCGTCCGTGGCCCCCCCCTCCCCTCCCCCAGCCCCTACTTTTGTATTCCGACCGACCGTGTCCCCCCTTCCCTCCTGTGGCCTCCCGCTTTTGTTCCGACCGACCGTGCCCCACCCCCCGCTGCCCGACCGCGCCCCCCTCCCCCCCCCGCTGCCCGACCTTGGCCCCCCGCCCTCCCCCCCCGCCTCCTTCCTCCGACCGACCGTGCCCCCTCCTTCCCTCCGTGCCTCCCCCTTCCCGTAATTCCGGTTGACCGTGCCCCTCCGCCTCCCCCCCTGTAATCCGACCGACCGTGCCCCCTTCCCCTTCCCGACCATGCGCTCCCGTTCCCCCCCCCGCTCCCCTCTCGTCATTCCGACCGACCGTGCCCCCCCTCTCCCACCGTAGCCCCCCCCCCCCTCCTGTTATTCCGACCGTCTGTGCCCCTCCTGCTGCCCGACCGTGACCCCTCTGCTCCCTCCTTGTTCCCCTCTTCCTATTCCGACCGACCGCGCCCCCTTTCCCTCCGTAGACCCCTCCCCGTCTTCCGACCGACCGTGCCCCCCCGCTTCCCTCCGTGGATTCCCACCAAGACTACCCCAAGAGGCCGCCAAGAGAGCCCCCAGACGGCCGAAGCCTTTCAAGACGCCCGAAGACAGCCCAACAGAGCCCCAGAACGACCCAGTGGGCTATCAAGAATGTTTGAAACGGCTCCAAAAAGACACCCGAGTAGTAGTGGAAACGCCAAACAACAAAGGCTCCGAAAAGCGCACAGTGACCAAGCACTTCGCTCCATACCGGGGGTCGGCATTCGAACAAACGCCATCGAGACCTCGCAAACCTCCCGTCAGGTCGAGATCGCTTTCAGATCGAAGCCGTGCGCTGCATTCACACAGCCATGCTGCAAGTCGCCGCTCCCTCGTGGTGGTCACTCGCTGGCCCCCCGCAGCATTCGCGCGCTTCTTCGAAACTAGAGCTTTGCGCCACCGCCATCTTCCGTTGTCCCGCATCCGTGATTGTATGATCCTTTGCACGCGTGCATCGTGTATTACATGGAAGAGGGATGGATGAATGGTCATATGGATGGATGGACGGATAGATGGATGGATGGATGGATGATGGATACATGGATGATGCTGATGATGATGAGGAGGTGGACGATAAAGAGGAGGAGGACGAGGAGGAGGAGGAGGAGAAGGAGCAGGAGCAGGAGGAGGAGCAGGAGCAGGAGCAGGAGGAGGAGCAGGAGCAGGAGGAGGAGGTGGAAGGAAACGGAGGAGGAGAAGGAGGAAAAAGAGGAGGAGGTTGAGGAGGAGGTTGAGGAGGAGGGAGTCCAGGACCGAGGGGAGTCGCGGGGGGGTCCCTGGGGCTGGACAGCGGGCCGCGCAGGCGGACGGATCGGCCGATCGTGTTGCGGAGTCCGACGAGAAGAAGGACCGCTCCAGCTTTGTGCGCCTTCGCTCCTCCCTTCTGATGTTGCCGGAGGTGGTCACAGCCCAAGGTCGCTCCAGCTTTTCGCGCCGTCTCGGAGCCCCTCGGCCCCTCGGGGCCTCGGGAGGGGTGCTCTGGCCTCTTAGGCAATCCTCGGGATTCCTCTGGGCCAGGAACACATTCAGCAGCCTAAGATGCCTCCATTCTTCCCTGGCAGCGATCGCTCAGGTCGCATGCCGTCTGCCTGGACCTCCGCCGCCCCAAAAGACTGTCAGTCAAGGCGGGTTTCTTTCGCCGCTCTCAGGCCCTGGTGGCTTTTTCTGTTTTTCGGGCCCGTGCAATATTGTCCCAAAATGGTCGAGAACTCTGCGGCCCGCGAATGGAACGAATGAGGACACTGGAGGTCTGGAGACGCGTTTCTGAGCTTGTGGAAGAAACTACAGGACTGTTAAGCATAGCTCGGCTTAACCTCTTCAGCATCAGTCTCAACCTCATTTTCTCTCCAGCCTGGTCTCGCCCAGAGTTGTTCACTCGAGTCCGGTTGCGTCTCACCGAGTGAATTGAGTCGGGTCATGCTGTGTCTTGGTTCGGTTTCGCAGAGCTTAGCAGTCTTATGTTCTCTTCGATCGCTCAGCCTTGTTATTGTAGCTTGCACGGGACGTGCTTGGTCCAGCAGTGCTTAAGTATGCAGCATGTGTAAGCTAGGCTAATCTCAGCTAGCTCCGCCTAGGTCAGCTCAGCTGAGTCCCGCCTGACTTTGGCCGCTTCCCCAGCCCCGGATCCAGCCCGAGGCCTTGCCTTGCAGTACGCCCAACCAAATTTTTAGTTTGCAGTGTTAGCCAGCGTGGCCACCGCACAGTGTGTTCCTAGCAGTGCAAGTAGTGCAATTTAGGCGGAGCAACCTATGTGGGCAATCTACGTGGTGCAATGCATGTTGCGCAGTGTATGTTGTGCAACATATGTTGTGCAATCGCTGTGGAGCACTTCTCGCGCAATCATCCCGCCCAGCCACCCGCAACTTTGTTTACAAAACCCATAACTATGGCGGCGGTCGCGATGACTGCTTGGCGCTGGCTGGCGCATCGCTGCGGCCGCGCTAGCGCGCAGGTTCGCGCGCAGAACGGCCAGCTAGTCTGGCGCGACCGACGCGGCCGCGGCGGCGCTGATCGCTGGGGACTTCCCGGCGCGTCTCGCAGGCCGAACTGGTGCACGGGCCCTTCTGTTCGAATCGGTGATTCGGGCGGGCGCGGTATCATGGCGATGTCGACCACGGCAGACACGATGGTGATTGTAGCGCTGCTGGTGCCGAGGATGACGAGAGACGACGGCAAGGCCAAGGCCGGCGCCGATGCTGATCACGCCGATGACGGTGATGGTGTCCACGTGTTTGTGATGAAGGTTCTGGAAGGATTTTGACATGCGCGCGCGGTCGACTGGCGCCGCAGGCCCGCATGTTATGATTTGAGAGGGGTCTTGCCCCGATCTTCCAGCGCTCGCGCGAGGGGGTCCAGAAACGCTTCGACATGCGCGCTCGAGAAGACCGTTTTGTCGCTGTCGATGAAGAGGTTGGAACATTTAGGGTTTCCTGGAGAATTCGCACTAGGGCGCGCGCAGATTTCTGGATCACTCGCTTTGCAACATCATGTGTTTCAACTGCATTTACATGTATGTATGTTTGTATGCATGTATGTATGTATGTGTTTGTGTGTATTTGTATGTATCTAAGTATATATGTATGTGTGTATCTATGTATGTCAGTCTAAATGCATGTATGGCTTTATGTAATTCTTTACGCTTCGCGTATCCCCACCAGCCCATCTCACAACAGCAACTCATGCGAAGCATGCCGACAGTCGTGTTTTTCAGGCGTGTGTCCGTTTGGCCCCGCATATCTGCCCTGTCCCTCCTTCCTCCCGCCTCCTTGTACATCCTCCTTGCGGGGGGAGCGGGAGAAGGACGAGGCGGAGGAGGAGGGAGAGAAAGCGCTCCTCGTGATTTGAGTCGTTTGGGGTTTCTCGTCCTGGTGTGAGTCGTTCGGGCCCTTCTTCCTGGTGTGAGTCGTTCGGGCTCTTCGTGGTGTGAGTCGTTCGGGCTCTTCGTCCTGGTGTGAGTCGTTCGGGCTTCTCGTGGTGTGAGTTGTTCGGGCCCCTCATCCTGGTGTGAGTCGTTCGGGCCCCTTCTCCTGGTGTGACTCGTTCGGGCTCCTCGTGGTGTGAGTCGTTCGGGGCCCGCGTCGTGGTGTGAGTCGTTCGGGCTCCTCGTGGTGTGAGTCGTTCGGGCGCCTCGTCCTGGTGTGAGTCGTTCGGGCCCCTCCTTGTGGTGTGAGTCGTTCGGGCTCTTCGTGGTGTGAGTCGTTCGGGCCCCTCGTCCTGGTGTGAGTCGTTCGGGCTCCTCGTGGGGCCTCTTGGGGGCCTCTTGGAGCCTCTTGGGGCCTCTTGGGGGCCTCTTGGGGGCCTCTTGGGGGCCTCTTGGGGGCCTCCTGGGGCCTCTGGGGGCCTCTTGGGGGCCTCTTGGGGGCCTCTTGGGGGCCTCTTGGGGCCTCTTGGGGGCCTCTTGGGGGCCTCTTGGAGGCCTCTTGGGAGGCTCCTGGGGGCCTCTTGGGGCCATCTTGGGGCCTCTTGCGACCTCCTCAGAAGCGCAAAGAAGCGCAGGACACAATGAGCCCAAAACCTTCGTAAAATCAATGATTTTGCTATGAGGGAAGAGGAGCGCTGCCCCCTCAGAAGGCCAAAATGGGGCCAAAACCCTAGTAAAAACAATGATTTTGGCTGCACAGAAGAGGAGAAGGTTTTTTCTCCATCCCCCCGTCGGGGCCAGAATCCTCGAGAGGGTAGTAGTTTTTTGGCCCTCCCAGGAGTCGAAAAAGACCCCCCTGACACCACCCCGGAGTCCCTGTCCAGGCCCAGGGGGAGGGGGTAGGGGGAGGGGTAAACCCCTCCCCGAAGGGGAAGAAGCGGGGTTGAGGACAGAGGGGGCTCTCTAAACCACTCACGCCCTAAAGGGCTGGTGGGATTATGTATGTATGTATGTAGATATGCATATATGTATGTATGTATGTATGTATGTATGTATGTATGTATGTATGTATGTATGTATGTATGTATGTATGTATGTATGTATGTATGTATGTATGCATGCATGCATGCATGCATGCATGCATGTATGTATGTATGTATGTATGTATGTATGTATGTATGTATGTATGTGTGCATGTATGTATGAATGTATGCATGTATGTGGGGAATCATTGGGTGATCTATGTATTTTATTGTTTGTGTGTACATATATCTCGGGAACCTCGATCTTGAAGTCCTTACGACAGTTCTGCATTTTCGAGTGATTTTTGCATGCGCGCGCGACGACGCGCGCGTGGGGACTTCGTCTCTTCCTTTTCGCAAGGGGCTCGTGCAAACGGGTGATGTTCGTGAAACGAGTGTGCGCGCATAGTTTTATTTGACGAGGACGAAGGGGTCGATGCGCACCAGTTTGGCTTGGATGAGATGACTGTACATGGAAAGTTAAGGATGTGGCAACATCGCTTGCCAATTGCACATCTCCGCGGTGGACGGATAAGTCCTGGGAGAGAGGGTGGTAGACCCTAGTTCCTCTTAGGAAAAGGGAAAACTATGTGGTGCAATATATGTTGTGCGATCCATTTGCCGAATTTGAAGTTGTCAACTCCACTGCTCGCGCAATCATCCCACCCACCCACCCTCAATTTTGCTTGCAAAGCCCATGCGGGAGCGATTGCGTTGCCAGCTGGGTATTGGCTGGTGCATCTCTGCGGCCGCGTTAGCCCGCGCATGCTCGCGCGCGCAGCGGCCAGCAGGTTGGCGCGACCGACGCGAAAGCGGTGGCGCCGACCGCTCGGCGCATCCCAGCGGGCACTTCAGCGCGAGTCGGCGATGTGGGCGGGCGCGGTATCATGGCAACGGCGACAACGGTAGACACGATGATGAGAGTAGCGATGTTGGTGGCGATGCTGACAGCGACGACGGGGCAGCCAGTGACGGCGCCGATGCTGATCACGCCGACGACGATAACGGCGTCATCGCGCCGGTGATGAAGGTTTTGGAAAAATCGAAATGCGCGCGCGGCAGACGCGCGCGAGTGGCCCGCATGGACTTATTTGACACGGATCGTGCCACCCCAGCACGCGCGCAAGGGCGATTGAACGATTTCGACACGCGCGCGCGCGAAGCCCGCTTGACGACGACGACGACGACGGCGGCGGCGACGACGACGACGTCGACGACAACGAAGATCACGACGACGCCGACGCCGACGACGACGACGAAGACGACGACGACGTCGCCAACGAAGACGACGACGAGGGAGGAGGGTGGACGACGACGGCGACAACGACGACAACGACGACAACGACGAGGGAGGAGGGAAGACGGCGACGACGCGAACGACGAAGAAGGAGGAAGGACGGCGACGCCGACGACGACAACGACGAGGGAGGAGGGAAAACGATGACGACGACAACGACGACGACGACGACGACGGCGACGAAGTAGGAGGGACGACGACAGAACGCCGACGACGGACGACGACGACGACGAGGGAAGAGGAGGAAGGACGACCACGGCGACAACGACGACGGAAACGACCACGACCGCAAAGAGGACGACGACGACGAACACGAGGAAAGACAGAGGACGACGCAGGCGACGACGACGACGAAGCGGGAGGAGGGAGGATACGCGCGCGACGACGCGCGCGTCTGCTCTTCGTCCCGTTTTTTTTTTGAGAGGACTCTCGCGACGGCACACGCGCCAGGGCGTTCGACAGATTTCGACATGCGCGCGCGCGATGCCCGGATGTGAAAAACTTGGGAAACAAACCCATGGTTTTCATAAGATTTCGCACGAGCTCGCGCGTGAATTTTTTGAGCACATAACTGTTGCGAACACTTGTGTTCTTGCCTAGTTTCTTCTTTGAAAACTTGATTGCGAAATCTCTCCGACACCGAAGGTTTTCGGAGGATTCCGGCATGC